GGGAGCCGGTGATCTTCGAGATCATGGGGACCGATGGTAGTAACGCGATGCAACCGCGATTCGACTATGAGAACTTCGCCCATTCGTTTTACTCCCACGCGAAATTATTTAAATGCTCGCACGATTCGCAGGAGAAATTCTTTAAACTTTCTGCTATCAGTGAATCACAGATTGTTATGCATTTGTCACCCATCTTAACACTTCCACTGCCACGTCATTCGTATGTGGGAAATTGCAATTAAAATTGAAATTGAAGTTGAAATTGAAATTGAAGTTGCAATTAAAATTGAAATTGCAATTAAAATTGAAATTGAAATTGCAAGTGCAATTGATATTGAAATTGCAATTCAAATTGAAATTGAAATTGCAAGTGCAATTGATGTTGAAATTGCAATTAAAATTGAAATTGCAAGTGCAATTGATATTGAAATTGCAATTAAAATTGAAATTGAAATTGAAATTGCAAGTGCAATTGATATTGAAATTGCAATTAAAATTGAAATTGAAATTGCAAGTGCAATTGATGTTGAAATTGCAAGTGCAATTGAAATTGAAATTGCAAGTGCAATTGAAATTGAAATTGAAATTGCAAGTGTAATTGAAATTGAAATTGCAATTAGAATAGAAATTTAAATTGCAAGTGCAATTGCAATTGAAATTGAAATTGCAAGTGCAATTGATATTGAAATTGCAAGTGCAATTGATATTGAAATTGCAATTAGAATAGAAATTGAAATTGCAATTAGAATAGAAATTGAAATTGCAATTAGAATAGAAATTGAAATTGCAATTAGAATAGAAATTGAAATTGCAAGTGCAATTGCGATCGAAATTGAAATTGAAATTGAAATTGAAATTGAAATTGAAATTGAATTGCAATTGAAATTGCAATTAAAATTGAAAAGAGTCTGAAAATCAGAAAACAAATAAGCAATGAAAAGATATATTTGAAGCGACTTGCTCATCGACTGTAATACGAATAATCGATTGCTTTCATTCATCCTTCATTATTATGCTTACTCATTATTCCTGTCAAAATTCAGAAGCTGAAAGAACAGTCGTCCGCCACGTATAAATACGCTTTAATGAATAATTACCGCGCACGAGGGATCGCGCAAGTTCGGACGACGCGTAACAAGATGAGAGAACAGTATACCGGAGCACACATTTAAACTCGTGCTTCGGCGATACCTTCGGGGCACAAAGGATTAAATGGTACCATCAGGCGCGGTATTTCGAATAAAACTAATTGAAACGAGTACACGGGATTATCATTTCGTATTCATGATCGTTTTCGCGAACGACAATAGCCGGGGCCGATGCTACACGTTTCCGCGCGCTCGCGGAAACGAAGGCTCCATTTGTTTATGAGAGACCAATTACTTGTCGAGTGACGTTTGACCATGATTATTCGGGCCGCGTGTGCTATAACCGGACAATAAACATCGAGCAGATGCGTCTAATTGTTGGCGCATACGTTGCCGGGTTATAAACTCGGACTGTATCCCGGAAATTCAGTTTGATCCCTGACTTCGACGAATTCTGCAGCCCCTGCGAGACATAATCTTACAATTACAAATTTTAATCGGATTTATCGGAGCTGCTTAATGACAATTATCGCGCCCGGCTGTTCGGAGAGTTGTGATTGTTCATCGCAAAATCATTTCGCGATTTTGCATGCGCGATTTTGTACAGATGGAAAATCAAATGGAAAATGCTAAATTAAGTTTTTACTTTATTTCTGCGCACTTTTCTGCGTACCGTTTTCTGATTCCGTAAATTGTATTTCTTGCTCTTCGCGAACATTGCAATCAGACTGCGGATTTCTATGCAAAATAAAAATTTGTCTGCGTCGATTGCAAGAGATCGAAACCAAATACATTGCAAGTTCATTCTCTCTTTAGTCATTTTAATAGAATAAGAATAATAGATCGACGTTTTCAAATTCCTCTAATTTGTATGCTATTTCAAATTATAACTGACCAATATTCTCATAAATGCATAGTTAAAAAATATATATATATTGAATAAACTCAACACTTTAAAACTTATAATTCGACATCGCATTGTACTCAAGGAAACGATGAAATTCTTTTACTCCTAAAATTGTGTTGAAGTTTCCTAAGGCTTCCTCGCCGAACAAATCTTGCGCTGCAATAAAAATCGGGAAAGATATTAAATCGACGCGAGGCTTTACTGCAAAACGACGAAAATCCGTTCGGAGATTCGCGAAGATTGTTTCTACGTTTCGCGGATTTTCTCAATGATTACATTCGCCGGGGAACGCTGGCTATCCTCGAGCAATTTTCGACGACTTCCGCGCGGCACGTTCTGCGGGACACGTTCCGACGCCGAGGAAAATCGTAGAAACTTTCCTCGTAGAAGCGCAGAAGCCTCGATTTTGATCGATCCTCCATCCGTCCCGGGGGTGTCCGGAGTTTCTCCGTCGCCCCGATATCGACGGAACTTTCAATTACGATCCTTGTTAATTAAAACGAGCTGCCGGCGGTGTTTACAGGCGGCATTGGCGCGTGAACATCGCCGCGATTGTCCAAGCGTAATTCCCGGGGAAATAATCTCCGGCGGGCTGTTCACGCCGAGAACAAATAGAAAGAAACGATAACAAAGATGGCGGAAGGAACGACCGACGATTGATCGTGAGCCACCTCGTGCGCCGAGCTCTCACGATCTCCATCCGTCGAGCGGTTTTACGTTCGTCGAGCGGTTTTACGGATTCCGCTCGATTGGCTCGCCCGGTAAAATGCATTTCACCGAGTTCCAACGAGTTACAATCTACTGAAATTTCAGAAAGATTCTCTCCGTTGCGGCGATCGCGGATTTAATCGGATCAGACGCTGGCAGAATACTAATTACAGCAAATTCTCCCCCCCCCCCCGATGTCTTCATTTAATTCTATTCGTTGCCATCGATATTTTGATCGTTCGAATAAATGTCGATACACGACAAATATTAATTTTATTTTACTACTTTTAATTACTTGAAAGCTTCTAGTCATTGTAATCGTGAAGACAACGATGAATTTCATTGAACTTCTCTTTCAAATTTGCTACACGCTTCTTCTTCGATCTTGACAATACACTTGTATCGAAATCTAGGCACAGTAAATTCTCTCCAATTTTCCTTCAGCTTGTGAACAATAATTGGACAATTTGGAAAGTGGAGATACGATTATCCGAGCCTCGCGGCTCATTTTTATAGCTGCCGATCGTCAACAATTGCAAAAACGAGGCGCGAGGCTCGAATAATCGCATCTCCTTTTCCCAAATCGTCCATTTTTGTGCACAATCTGAGCGTCAATTAGGGACAATTTACTGTAATTCTTTGGCCTGAACTGTCTTTTAACAGGCTGAACAGGTTCTTAACCATTTTTAACCAAAACTTGGTAAAAGATAAATCTTGAATTCCGATGAAAAATCTTTAAAAAAACTGCTCGGAAAATGGTTTCGATGATTTCAAAGGCAGATTTTCGAAAGTATCCGCACAGTTACTTCTCAGACACTCTTTTATCAAGTACAATTTTGTATCAAGAAAACTGGGATAAAATGGACCAAGTTGACAGGTCAATGGAAAACGAAATGCTCCAATTAATCGCCTCCAGTCAATTTAATTCCTGCCTCTCCAATTTGGTAGAGATAGCAGTATTGTCTAACAATCCCCACAATTCCTTCGAACCGTCCGAGAAGGTCGTCATCACGGTCGTTCCCTAACGTGGAAAGGAAAATGGCTTCTTCAGGTTCAAGGATTCGCAGCGAGGCGACTCGAGCCTCGAGACGGCTTCGCGCGACTTCCTGGAAAAAGGAAGAGATAAAAAGAGAGAGTAAGAGAGAGAAAGAGAGAGGCAGGGCCAGACTGGAAGACTGAAACATTTCGATAATGAGTTCCTTTCGTGCTAGCCGAGTATTAGAACCCGGCTCATCCGAGGAGCTCTGATTACTTACGCTTAGCTCACTTTTGTCGGCTCCGTGGTCCCGATAATGGAACCGTCATTTTTGCAAAATTTTCGTCCAGTCTCGTTTAGGTGACAAAAGTTCGTTCAACACTCTAGTTATCTGCCAAACTGTTATATTTTAATCGACTTAATTAGACTTCGTTTTTAATCTCTCTTTGCAGATCTACATTTTGTTAGAGCATCTGGTTTTAGACCAGAAGACTTTCCACTGTATTTCCATTGTTTGTTATAAATATATTTCTGACAATCTTACAGTTTCTTCGTTGTAGATCGTTCGTGAAACAAAACTTTCAGATGAACTTCGCGACATAATTAGTTTGGATAAATGAAAGTAGACGTACGAGGCGAGATTGGAAATTTGGCAGATTGAAAATCCTTAAAACAGAAGCGTGGAATATTTTTATAAATCAAACCGAACATTCATCCGCTTATCCGAGTATAAAGTATAACTGACTACGGATTTTGCAATAATAAAGTCGCGAATTTTAGACATTTACGACAAAGCTGAGTATTAAAACTAATTAAAAAATTATTATATTTCACATACTAAAATGATCAAGAAACGAAACAAATGTTCGTTAAGCTCCTGCATCTTGCAGTCAATGCAAGACAATGCAACTTTTATTCCGCACAAAGATCCGGAGTCTAATCACTGTAACGACCGTTTGCAATTTAATTTAAAATTAGTTTTTTTGAAAACGCGAATTAATTGTCCAGAACCAGATATAGTAACAAGTAACAATAATTTAACAAGGGTTCGCGCGCCGCCCGCGCCGTAATCGAAACTCGCGACCTCCAGACACCAATTACCAATTTAATTGGTCCCGAGGCCAAGAACCGTACGGGCGAGGAAAAAAAGGCGGTGTAAATGTGAAAATGTGTAAAAAACTGAAAAGATCGTATCGACGGAAGCAACAAGTGCCGAGAGGAATAGGGCCGGTCCTATAATTACCCGGCTCGGCCGGCGCGGCCGCGATTCAGTCGCCGGGGATCCATAGATCGGATTGTTACAGAGGATATTCGATTTCAGCGGATCGGCTTACGAGGGCCAGTGGCAGAATGGGAAGCGGCACGGGCTCGGCATGGAAACCCGGGGCCGGTGGATATACCGCGGTGAATGGACGCAAGGATTCAAGGGTCGATACGGTGTCAGACAATCGACCACGTCCACGGCGAGGTACGAGGGCACGTGGGCGAGCGGTCTCCAGGATGGATATGGCTCCGAGACCTACGCCGACAGCGGTGAGTCTAATCTCTCTACGATTCTTCCTTTTTCACAGAATTTTCTAGCTTAATTTTTAGCTCGACGTCGACTACCATAAACACTAGAACCATCGAGGCATAATAATGACTAAAGTAAATATATATTATAATAATATAATATACATATATTCTACATTGATATGAATTTCTGTACTTTATATAATATTATTATACATTTCTATACTTTATATAATATTATTATATTTCTGTACGTTATATAATATTATTATATTCCTATACTTTATATAATATTATTATATTTCTATACTTTATATAATATATATTATATTTTATATTTTATATAATATATATAAACAATAAATATCTATATAATATTATTATATTTCTGTAGATGTGTATAAGAGACAGATATAATATATATTATATTTTATATTTTATATAATATATATAAACAATAAATATCTATATAATATTATTATATTTCTGTAGATGTGTATAAGAGACAGATATAATATATATTATATTTTATATTTTATATAATATATATAAACAATAAATATCTATATAATATTATTATATTTCTGTAGATGTGTATAAGAGACAGATATAATATATATTATATTTTATATTTTATATAATATATATAAACAATAAATATCTATATAATATTATTATATTTCTGTAGATGTGTATAAGAGACAGATATAATATATATTATATTTTATATTTTATATAATATATATAAACAATAAATATCTATATAATATTATTATATTTCTGTAGATGTGTATAAGAGACAGATATAATATATATTATATTTTATATTTTATATAATATATATAAACAATAAATATCTATATAATATTATTATATTTCTGTAGATGTGTATAAGAGACAGATATAATATATATTATATTTTATATTTTATATAATATATATAAACAATAAATATCTATATAATATTATTATATTTCTGTAGATGTGTATAAGAGACAGATATAATATATATTATATTTTATATTTTATATAATATATATAAACAATAAATATCTATATAATATTATTATATTTCTGTAGATGTGTATAAGAGACAGATATAATATATATTATATTTTATATTTTATATAATATATATAAACAATAAATATCTATATAATATTATTATATTTCTGTAGATGTGTATAAGAGACAGATATAATATATATTATATTTTATATTTTATATAATATATATAAACAATAAATATCTATATAATATTATTATATTTCTGTAGATGTGTATAAGAGACAGATATAATATATATTATATTTTATATTTTATATAATATATATAAACAATAAATATCTATATAATATTATTATATTTCTGTAGATGTGTATAAGAGACAGATATAATATATATTATATTTTATATTTTATATAATATATATAAACAATAAATATCTATATAATATTATTATATTTCTGTAGATGTGTATAAGAGACAGATATAATATATATTATATTTTATATTTTATATAATATATATAAACAATAAATATCTATATAATATTATTATATTTCTGTAGATGTGTATAAGAGACAGATATAATATATATTATATTTTATATTTTATATAATATATATAAACAATAAATATCTATATAATATTATTATATTTCTGTAGATGTGTATAAGAGACAGATATAATATATATTATATTTTATATTTTATATAATATATATAAACAATAAATATCTATATAATATTATTATATTTCTGTAGATGTGTATAAGAGACAGATATAATATATATTATATTTTATATTTTATATAATATATATAAACAATAAATATCTATATAATATTATTATATTTCTGTAGATGTGTATAAGAGACAGATATAATATATATTATATTTTATATTTTATATAATATATATAAACAATAAATATCTATATAATATTATTATATTTCTGTAGATGTGTATAAGAGACAGATATAATATATATTATATTTTATATTTTATATAATATATATAAACAATAAATATCTATATAATATTATTATATTTCTGTAGATGTGTATAAGAGACAGATATAATATATATTATATTTTATATTTTATATAATATATATAAACAATAAATATCTATATAATATTATTATATTTCTGTAGATGTGTATAAGAGACAGATATAATATATATTATATTTTATATTTTATATAATATATATAAACAATAAATATCTATATAATATTATTATATTTCTGTAGATGTGTATAAGAGACAGATATAATATATATTATATTTTATATTTTATATAATATATATAAACAATAAATATCTATATAATATTATTATATTTCTGTAGATGTGTATAAGAGACAGATATAATATATATTATATTTTATATTTTATATAATATATATAAACAATAAATATCTATATAATATTATTATATTTCTGTAGATGTGTATAAGAGACAGATATAATATATATTATATTTTATATTTTATATAATATATATAAACAATAAATATCTATATAATATTATTATATTTCTGTAGATGTGTATAAGAGACAGAGATTAGATTCAATTTAAACTTCGCCTGATTTATGTTACAATACAGAAGAATAAGGAATAATAATAAAGAAGTCTATTTAAAAATTTCTCGAAGAAGAATTTTTATAACATCGTAATTGAAAAAGAAAAATTGTAAAAGAAAATATCAGGAGTCAGTCATTTTGACACTATTTTGGTAGTTCTAGTGTTAACGTTACATTTACCGGGCACTAAAAACAGCTGTTTTACATTACGCGATGAAAATTATTTTCATAATGTTTATAACGATTTATAATTACATTACTGCATGCAATTACAGTCTTTGAAAGAACACGATATTTATCGAAGTGAACAAACTTCGACCGGTTAGAATGAAATACGCTAAAAAAAAGGATTGAAACTATAATAGAATTTCGAGCTTAGTCGCGTAATTTATTCACAAAAGTGACGATAACATTGAATTTGCTCTGAACACGTAAACAACGGAAAATGTTTAAGGTGATTATACGAGCTTAGAGTCACCGGATAGCTCGATCAAGAAATCCTGTAGTCCGTGTCTGACCATATACGGACACAATCTACTGCAGCCTGAAAGAGTCTCTCAGTTGTCTGACTTTCACAATGTTCCACACGAGTGAATCGCACAGAAAACGCAGTATCTTTTCACTGAATTTCATTATATCAAAGAAACTATATTTTGTAAATCAATTAAAATGTTAAACAACGGCCTTAAAATTTATCGCGGAATAAAAAACGTAGTCAAACAATTTTCCGTCATCTGGAAACAGAAAATGGCTGAATAATCATTAGAGACAATGTCGTTTTATTTAACTATCTTAAATCTGGCATCTAGTATGCACGGTCAATGGCAACCACGTGACGGCAATGAATTATTTAGAACTATGAAATTAATTTAGGCTTAGAAACATGAATTAAACTTAAGCATGTACACTCAACGTGAACAATAAATTTCACTGAAACACGTATACTCAACCGAAACAATTAATTTGACTGAAACACGTATCCTCGATCTAAGCAATAAATCTATCTTAAACAAACGTACTCAATTTGAGCAATAAATTTAACTTCGACAGGTATACATACTCGCTTGAAGCAATAAACATAATTTAAACAGATCCATCGAGCTCGAGAAATAAATTTATCCGAAGCGTATCAGAATTTGGGGAATAAAACGAATGTCGTTCCGGTAACCGAACCGTGTTGATAATTGAGAAATCCGTGAGCACGCGATGATTGTTGTAAGCGTGAGTACGGCTGCGAGTACAAAGCTGTCGGCAGCAGATCAAAGGATACTGCGTATCCTGGCCGCCGATACGGGCCGCAGAAATCTGTGTCATCGGCAAGTGACAGGACACGTGTCCCTGACACTTCCGCTCGAATTTCATCCTGACGCGAATTAATCGACTGGTTCTAACCGATCCCCCGACAATCTTTGATCGGACACGATGCCGGCATTCCATTTCCTTCTTTTTTCTCTGCGTTTAATTTGTAGTTATTAATACGCGTTTTAATTACCAGCCTGTCTGCGAGCGGCGGCATGGTCCCCTTTTTCGCGCGAAACCGGGAACGCTGCCAAGTTGGCCGACGATCCGACCAGACCATCGTCTTCCCAACGTTCTGTTTCGTTGGATTAATAATTAATAAGCAGCACACCATCGGGCTCCATTCAAATTTCTGCACGGAGATCGAGTTCCCTCGCCTTTTTACCTTAAACGAACGTCGCTGCGCGAGTTCCCCGACTTTGAAAAGCCTTCCGCTTCGAAATGTGTCGCCGCTCCATTCAATTGCGAAAGCTTGCGAACAGATAAATGACTCATTAATGTTAGACACTGTCAACGAGCGTTTCATCGAACCACGACTGCCGTCGGACGAGTACAGCACTGATAAAATACAGAGTCGCGTGAAAAAGAGAACAGAGAAACGAGATCTTTTGCATTTATTTTATTCCAGGTAATAGCAAAATTAACGGGAAAAAGTGTATTTTTTAGTCATTCTACACTGAATTAGTCTCTTTAACGTTTACGAAAACAATTCGAGTCGTTTCGACCATTTTGATAAGAAGGTTGCACCGTTTTGACGGGTGCGTGGACACTTTTGCTCCACCCTGTATACGCTCGACTAGGATTAAATTCCAATTACAGCGTTCCATTACGTACATGCTTAGCAGGAAACCGCTCAATTATTCAGCCGCTTCCACCGTAATTCGCGTACGCGGGCTGCTCTATCTTGAAAGCCGCCGCGGCCGAAAATAATTCCCGAATCTTTTAAATAATACGAAACTCGCGGAAGCTCACAATTCGTCTTCGAGGCGAATGATTAATGGGATCTATTTAAAGGTGCATAGCGCTGCGCGGTGCTCCGGTAGTAGAAGCAGAATGCCAAAAGCAGAAGCTTTCGTGCGTAGCAAATAAATAAACAAACACAGTCTTATTAATATGTCGCGTCGACGCGTTC